GTCATATCTGTTACACTGTATATATTTTTTATCTATACTTGTTACACCTGTTCTACTTCTGTCATATCTGTATCTGTTACACTATATATATATTTTTATCTATACTTGTTACACCTGTTCTGCTTCTGTCATATCTGTTACACTGTATATATTTTTTATCTATACTTGTTACACCTGTTCTACTTCTGTCATATCTGTATCTGTTACACTATATATTTTTATCTATACTTGTTACACCTGTTCTACTTCTATCATATCTGTATCTGATAAACTTACATGTTTCTCATCTGTATCTGTTACATTTACATGTTGATGTAGTTTATATACATGTGTGTGTGTAACATGTTCTCCCAATAATAGTCAAATTTAAAATCCTGCACCTGCTACTTCCTGTTACACCTGTATATGCTAGTTCCTGTTACACCTGCACATGCTAGTTCCTTTTACACCTGTATATGCTAGTTCCTGTTACACCTGTATATGCTAGTTCCTGTTACACCTGTATATGCTAGTTCCTGTTACACCTGCACATGCTAGTTCCTGTTACACCTGCACATGCTAGTTCCTGTTACACCTGTATATGCTAGTTCCTGTTACACCTGTATATATTTCTGTTCCCAAAACACACTTTCATAAGATACTTTCTTTTCAAAGAAGAATTTATTTCTGGAGAAACAGAAATTTTACAGTTAGCTTTGTTCATAACTCATATACATGTTCATAACTTATGGATCCATACTTTAATAGCTATTCCATACGTTCATAACTTATGGATCCATACTTTAATAACTATTCCATACGTTCATAACTTATGGATCCATACTTTAATAGCTACTACATATGTTCACAACTTATGGATCCATACTTTAATAGCTATTCCATACGTTCATAACTTATGGATCCATACTTTAATAGCTATTATGTTCATAACTCCTGGATCCATACTTTAATAGCTATTCCATATGTTCATAACTTATGGATCCATATTTTAATAGCTATTCCATATGTTCATAACTTATG